GGGTTTGCGTTATTTGTGCCGTAAAGGTTCCAATTGAAAACGCGTTTGCCCGCTCGCCTCGTTGCTCCGGCTCTTTTCATACGTTCGCGGGCTGGTCTCGATACACTTACGGCACATCATATGCGTGATACTATCCTTCAGCTCAACTCATTCAGGCCGGCGCGTTTGCTGTTACAATGGCTTGACCAGTGACCCCGACGCCGCTGCTCTGTCAAAAAACAAAAACACGCCCACTGTCCGGCCCCCATGTTTACCGGGGTGGTGACATGACCTGACCCGTGACCTCTGTCCGCTCCTGCAGTGCACTGTCCGGCCGCCATGTTTACCGGGGTGGTGACATGACCTGACCCGTGACCTCTGTCTGCTCCTGCAGTGCACTGTCCGGCCGGCACGTTCGCTAAGACCGAGGACGATGCGTGCACGGTGTGTCCGATGGGAGAGTACCAGGACCAGAGCCGCCAGGGCAGGTGCAAGAAGTGTCCCGCCGGCACCTACACCCGTCAGGAGGGCAGCAAGAGCGTCCAGGTCAGACGGGGTCCACGGCTAAGGGATGAGGGTAGGGGCCGAGGTACCTCTCTCATGCATCCGATATTTCGTTGCTCTGGATAATAGGATAATATCCTCTCTCTCTCTCTCGTTTTCCTCACCCCTCCCTTGTGCTTTCATCCCTCTCTCCCCTTCTCTTTCTCCTCTTAACCTCTGTCTAAAGAGAAGGGTGGGGGATAAAACAGAAACAATGCGACTGGCACCTGATGAATCATTTGTATGCGTGGTGTGGAAAGCATTTTACACACAATGCTCAAACTCAGGCAGACGAGACTAATCAACTCTGGTGTGCACACTGACCACTGGTCAAGACCCTGTGCCCTGACCTAACCTGACCTGACCTGACCTGGCGGCAGGAGTGCGTGCCGGTGTGCGGCTACGGCACCTACTCGCCGTCGGGCCTGGTGCCCTGCCTCGAATGTCCGCGCAACAGCCACACCGGTCCGCCGCCGGCCGACGGCTTCAAGGAGTGCCGTGCCTGCCCGCCCGACACCTACACCCACGCCCAGGCGGCCAGCGACATCGCCATGTGCAGAGGTCAGCCACGCAGCCTGAGCCACCTTTGAGCTGTGCTGGGCTCAGTGCTTCCCTCCCCTCCTTCCGGGGCTTTATTTGGAGCTGCGTATCGCAGTATAATTTTTGTTATGCTCGCACAAGGAGTTGCCGGACTGTGTTGCCGCCTTTGTAGCCTGAAAATTGCGACTATATTGGAGTTACTGCTGAGTGTTTCTTCCTGCTCTAGAATCAGTGATGTGTGTCTTGTTCCTTGACGGCATGCGGTGATTCGCTGTACATGTTGTACTTAACTGTCATGTACGGACATATGATCGAGATGTATTCGTTTGCGAAAAAATACATCGGCTTTCCTGTTACGCACCTGCTGCGCTCGTTCGTGTCGCCCTGTGGCGGCCTGTATTCACGCACCGCGTCGTTCCGTTTCAGCCAAGTGTGCCCCCGGCACGTACTCGGCCACCGGCCTGGAGCCGTGCTTCGCCTGTCCGCGCAACTTCTTCCAGCCGATCGAGGGCGCCAATACGTGCTTCGAATGCCCGACGGGCAACATGACGGAGTCGGAGGGCGCAACGACACCAGATCAGTGTGTGCCAGTCGCGTGCACTGAGGACACGTGCGAGCACGGAGGACTGTGTCAGGTGAGGACACGTTGGCACATAGAGTGCTCGTACTGAGCACCCGCCTGTGAATCGACATGCTCTATTGGGGTGTCGCGTACGGCTTTTATGTTGTTAGTGACGGAGCATGTGTGCACTTAAACGATAGTTTACCTTTTTGACAAGTAAACGTGAACCCCACCTCCGCACCCAAACACCACGCATCTGAACGTGATGTCGGTGTCCTCGCACCGTGCGCCAAGCGTCTGCGACGTGTGTACCTTCGCTGACGTGTGTCGCCGGGTCGCCAGATGCTGGGTCACCGGCCCAAATGTTACTGTCCGGCCGGCTTCAGCGGCGCTCGCTGCGAGCTTGACGTCGACGAGTGCCTCTCCACCCCGTGCCACAACGGAGCCGTCTGCGTCGACCAGCCCCAGGTCAGCGGCGCGGCGCCGGCGCCAGGCTCGCCAGTCGAGAGTGTTGGCGACGTGCTGTCGGTAGTGTCAGACGGAGTGGGCTTGGACCGGACATAATTCGGCCTGGAGCGTCTGCTGAGTGCAGGCGCTCACAGCGGTTGCAGCGACGCTTCCAGGCCGCGTTCGGTGCCGTAAATTGTAACGCAGGTGGCTGTGCCAGCGCCGCTGCCCCCACACGTCTTCACCTCGGACATGGTCGGCCCCTGTCTGGCACCCGGTGTACAGCGTTGTCTTGTCCTCGGCCAGTCTGTCACCGACCTCCCCTACCGATGCTGTACCCGCCGGAGCGCAGATGGTTCTCCCCCTCCGGGAGCGGACGGCAGCCGCTGACCGCGCCCGATCGCCGCCGGCAGGGCTATCGGTGCCAGTGCGAGCGGGGCTACTCAGGCATCAACTGCCAGATCGAGGAGTCCGACTGCAAGGAGGAGACGTGCCCGGCGCGGGCCATGTGCATGGACACGCCCGGAGTCGGTGGGTGTGGCGCGCCGACCCCGGTCGGCTGGCGGACATCTGATGCACGTCAAACGCACTGCCGTGTTTGGTGTTGGGTCGGGCGTTAGAGTCCTGGTGCACTCGAGAGCCATGCCATGGTGTGGGCTGACTGATAACTGGGCTAGACTTTGAGACACCGGACCTTGACTAAAGGTTATCTTGAGCGGGTATTCGAGCGTTTTTCGCTGATCATGCAGTGTCATCTGTCTCAAACTAAAACAATCATACATGATGGTGGCATCTTGTTCGTGACGGAAACTTGCGATGTCTCCCTTCTGTTAAGTAAGCATTTATCAAGGTGACGTGTGTCGTATGGGCGTGCGAAAAGAGCCTGTGTAGTGAGCAGGGACCGTACGGTAGTCTTGCGTAATGTTTATATGCTGTAAGCTGTCTGGCTTTATGTAACCAGTGCTGAAGTGTTTGTACAGTCTACAGCGCTTCAGTTCCTCGTGCTTCACAACCCTTTATTTACCTGGCCTATCGTGCTGTTTGTGGCATGCCTCATCACCTCGCCGCGGTACACTGTTACGCACATGGCTGGCCTCCATTTCAGGCAACTTTGAGTGCCTCTGTCGGGAGGGTTACACTGGCCCCAACTGCAACGTGACGGTCGATCCCTGCAAGGAGAAGGGTAACCCTTGCGATAACAGCGCCAGATGCGTCGCCCTACAGCAGGTCAGTATGTCAGGGAGTGTATCCTCCAAGAAACGGCGGCAGGTCGCTTCGTCAGAGAACTTACGGCACATTGCGAAAGGTTCAATGTCGGAGTGCGTGTGGTACAAGCATTTCACTTCATGTGTCTGTGCCTTGTGGGAATGCTGTGGTATCTGCATTGCGCGTAGATGCAGCACGTGTTGTATCTGCACTTGGAAGTTGCATTAGTAATGCACTTAAGACCTCCGTGGCCGCTGCTCGCGACCTGTACGGCCTTTGTCGGCAGGGTCGGTTCCGCTGCGAGTGTCCGCCGGGCTGGGAGGGCGCGCTCTGTGACGTCAACTCGGACGACTGCGCCGAGCAGCCCTGCCTCCTGGGCGCCGAGTGCACCGACCTCGTCAATGACTTCCAGTGCGACTGCCCCACAGGTGGGGTGCCTGCTGTGACGTCCCTAAGCTTTTCTGTATAGATATATTGCACATTGTTCCATGGCGTGGTTGAACAGACGTCACCTCATTCCTCATTGTGATGAGTGCCGTGAGCTGGACGGCAGCGAAATGACATCGTGGTGGAAAAAACGAACCAGCGTCAGTGAGCTATCTTTAGAACTGTTTCAAGCCGTTGGCTATGGGGCTCTTACCAGCCGGGGTACCAACAAGATGACTTGCACGTATATTAAACGTAAGCATGTTTTTCACTTCTCAACGTACAAAGAGATTGAAATCAGCCAGCATTATTGCTGTGAATATGCAGCTTTCAAGTACACCTAGTTCAATGTGAAGGAAATACGTAATTTAACGTGTCATATGCCTTTGAGATCGGCATTTCTACCACACCTGCCACCTGAATACCAAGCAGTTTTCGGGGAGCCAAAACATCAGTTAGCATTACCAGACGGTTGCCCCGCCTCACGCCTCTTCGAACTCGCTTCTAACGCCCCGCTTCTACCAATCACGGCCAGGCTTCGCCGGGAAAGCGGTGCGAGCGCAAGATTGACCTGTTGCGCTGGCGGCCCGTGCGCGCACGGCCTGTGCGTGGACCGGTTCTTCGTGCACCAGTGCGTCTGCGACCCTGGCTGGACAGGTGAGTGAGCGGCTGGCCCGGCGACGCGGGGGTGACGTCAGCGCTGGCGGTGACGTCACGAGTGGCAAGGAGGTGTGACGTGACGCGCTGCGTTACAGTCTCGTTCTCTGGAGCGGTTTGGTGTGCAAGGCGTTGTCTCTCCGGGGTAAAACTCGTTTCTCAAGTGGTGCACGCGGCGGAGGGACGTCGTTAAACCCTTGGCTCCTGCACAGACGTCACTCTGCCGATGTTGAATCGCCACCTGAGCAGCCTGACTCGCATCAAAACACCAACCTCATCTTTAAGCCGAAGGTGTAGCCCTTCCGGTCCGCCATGAGTGACGCCCACCTTCTGCCGCAGGCCCGTCCTGTGACGTCAACATCGACGACTGCGTGACCCGGCCCTGCGCAGAGGGCAGCACGTGCGTCGATGACGTTGATGGCTTCAGCTGCTCCTGCGCCCCCGGCTACACGGGCAAGCGCTGCCAGCACACGATAGACGACTGTGCCAGCCAGCCGTGCCAGAACGGCGGCACCTGCGACGACCAGCTCGACGGTCAGTCGCAGATAGCAAACTTTGGCGCATCACATTGGGACAAACTTGACATCATGCGGTGGGAGCAAACGAAAACAGGGGACCATCGCGGGTTGCGACATCACAAGTACAGGAATTTTTTGCAGGGCTTATATTTCAAAGTAATTGGCCTCCTGGACAAAAATAAAACTTAATTACATTGGCGATAGTCAGCTTATTTCCTGCCCAATCTTGCATCCCATGAGGAAATTGCATACCCAGTTTACGCCTCAGGTAACCTCCGTATGTCACTAAACACGCGTCATTGTGCTGCTTCAAGAACCACCAGGCATCAGTAGCAATGAACCCGCGCACCAATAAGCTGACCAGCAGCCACAAGCGTCCGGTGCAAACGGACTCAGAGCTCCGCGCTGCTGGTAGGTGATGGGTCGGCGCCATTCTCTCGGACCAGGCGGTCTGACCGCTGACCGCTCCCGCTCGCAGGCTTCAAGTGCGTCTTGCCGACCCGGCTTCGTCGGGCTGCAGTGCGAGGCAGAGATTGACGAGTGCACCTCCAGTCCGTGCAGCCCGCAGGGAACCGAGCGCTGCGTCGACCGCGACAACACCTTCGAGTGCGAGTGTCGCATGGGATACTCCGGCAAACTGTGCCAGGTAAGAGGACCGGTCCCCGGGACAGGACGGCGCCGGTTTGGTGTCGCCCGCATGCGGACACTCTCGAAGCTTCTCGCTGCGTGTGGGATGACTTCGCGGAGGGGAAGATGGATTCAAATTGCGTCAACATGTAGCTTGAGGTTTAGCGTTGACATTAATTTGATAATCGACGACACTCGCCCGCGCGGATGGACGGTGAGCGTGACGTGGATGAACGTCTGCCACGTCCTTGTGGCAGTGCCGTTTCCTCGCCAATCCTGCGGGTCAGGCAAGACGAGCTTCCGCGCTCGCCGGCGACGAGCGGCCGTCCCTGACTGAAGCTGCCTCTTCCGCTCCGTCAGACGAACAAGAACGAGTGCTCGTCCAGCCCGTGTATGAACGGCGCCGTGTGTACGGATGGCCTGGACGACTTCACCTGCTCGTGTAAGCCCGGCTGGACGGGCAAGCGCTGCGAGATGGACGTGGGCAGTTGCGAGAGCTTCCCCTGCCTGAACGAGGCCAAGTGTATCGATCTTTTCCAGGTAAGGGCGCGCGTCACGGAGGATGCGACGTGGGGGAGAGCGGCTGGACGTGGGGGAGAGCGGCTGGACGTGGGGGGAGAGCGGCTGGACGTGGGGGAGTGGATGGACGTGGGGGAGAGCGGCTGGACGTGGGGGAGAGCGGCTGGACGTGGGGGAGAGCGGCTGGACGTGGGGGAGTGGATGGACGTGTGGGCAGGGCGGTTGGACGTGGGGGAGAGCATCTGGACGTGGGGGAGAGCGGCTGGACGTGGGGAGGGGAGAGCGGCTGAACAGGCGCTGTTGGCGCTCCTGCCAGCTGAGTTGCCGGTGGCCAGCCTCCGTGTCAAGTGAGGCAAAGCTGTCGCACAGCCTAGATGTTGTAAGATTATAAGAATTTGTCTCGGGATTTCTTGTTTTCCTTGTTGTTCGCCGCTACAGGTACATTTTTCCACCATGCATTGCCAGAGGCTTTCACAGCGCACAAAACAGCCCGCGATATACGCAGCCCCGCGGCGGAGCCTGTTTATGCGGGCCGATAACCATGGACAGCGCACAGCTCCCAGACGTTCCGCCGGCACTCTGCCGCTTGACGACTTCCGTCAGGGCCCCAGCGCTTCCTGGCCGGGTCTTCCTGATGCGGGCCCGGCCTATCGCCTGCGCCTGGCGCCTGACGCCTGTGTCCGCCTGCAGGGCTTCTTCTGCGCCTGCCCGTCGGGAACGGACGGGGACCGGTGCGAAGTGACTCCCGAGCGTTGCGTCGGCTCGCCCTGTATGAACGGCGGCTTCTGCAGGTCGGTGAGCCCTGCACGGTGACCCGTCAGGTCGACTACCCCTGCTGGAGCGAGGCTCGGTGGGCCAGCCCCCCCCCCCCCCGCTGGAGCGACACCCAACAGACCAAAGGCCTCTGAAGTCTCGATATGGGCAGATGACTTTATTCTAAAGAGATGAAGACTTTTACCGGCCAGCCGTGTGGTGCTTTCCATGAACGTGAATGAGTTAGCGAATTAATTGATGGGTGGCTGTGGTAGCTCTTAACTAGGACGACTTCTCCATGCATCGACGGACTTGACAAGTTTACTGTGCACCCTGTTCACTGCGTTTCCACATAGGCCGTCCGCAGCCCTGCGGTGTGGCCCCAGGCTCCCGTCCGTCGGTAGCTGGGGGCCGGTGCTGAGGAGGGGCGTCAGCTGCCGTACACTGCTGACTCGTAACGGACGGCCGTCATGTCTGACCTTGCCGCCGTTCGCAGGGACTACGGCTCGGGCCTGAACTGCAGCTGCCCGGCTGACTACCTCGGAGTCGGCTGTCAGCACGAGCTGGACGCCTGCGAGGCCGGGGTGAGCGACTGGGGCACGAGCCGGCCCGGGCGGCGCCGGGGGCGCCATAGCTCACTGGGTCACTGGACGGGTCACTGGGTGGGCTCTGGAAGAAGGGAGGCTATGCTGGTGGTGAGGGTGATGGATGAGGACATGCCTGCATAACAAACAAGAATCAGCTTTACACTTTTATCAGGACGCTGTAGAAGTCGGATGAGGGAGGTCAGGTCACAACAGAGGGTCACAGACAGTGGCAGGTCAAGGCGCGAGGTCACGTAGTCACTGCAGACCGGACCGCGTGATCCCACATTCAACGTCAGGGGAAAAAGATGTCGCGTATAAGCGCGGCGTAGATCGCTGATAACATTGTAGCCTATTTTGTTCGTAGCATCCAGGTCGCTTGAGACCGCGACCTACCCCGACAGCGACCTCTGACCCCACGCTGCCGTCGGCGCCTCTCAGGTCTGTCAGAACGGTGCCACGTGTCTGGATGAGGGCGCCGGCTACAAGTGTGTCTGCCCGGCCGGCTACACGGGCGTCAACTGCGAGACGGACATTCCGGACTGCGCGCCGAGCAGCTGCCCGACGGGCGCCACCTGCGTCGACCTCGTCAACGACCACTACTGCCGCTGCCCCTTCAACCTGACCGGCGAGGACTGCAGGAAGAGTGAGTGGTGCCGGGGGAGGGGCGGGGCTGGACACTGTTCCCGTCGGCTGGGATAAAGTGGTGGTGCTTCAGTTGCAGGGCATACATACGTGGGTGTCAAGTGATGGCAGTGGCTTGTAACGCTAACAGCGGAAACGAACGCCCTTCAACACTAAAATATTAAGTCAGTGGCAGCTTTCATCAGAGTTGATTTACCGACTACCACCTCTGCCATTTCACGTGGTAGATACGCGTGGGGTGATGTAATGATATTGACATGAACCTATGTACGTTTGTCCCTGAGCGCCGTTGAATCCCTCTCTCTGATAAAGGATAGCATATCTACTGTAACCTCGCGGCCGTCCGTCAGTTTCGGTGCGCTGGTCATTTGTCCAAGGCCACGTATCGACAATGCCTGCACATGAACGGCGATGGGCGCATCACGTGACCCCGCGACCTCCCGCAGGCATCACGGTGGACTACGACCTGTACTTCAACGACGACTCCAAGTCTTCCTCGGCTTCGCTGTACGCGCCGTTCGAGATGCGCTCAGCGTCGAGCATGTCGCTGGGGCTGTGGGTCCAGTTCAGCTCGCGGCTCGACATCGGCACCTTCTTCACACTGTACAACGTCAGGTCGGTGGAGGCCGGGCAGGGCGAGCCGCGCTCAAATTTCCTCGCAGGCGGCGCCGGCGTGGTCATGTGCCGATGTGCTTTCACGTGACATTCTTTCGTCTCAGCAATCAGTTGTCAGCTCCACGCGGCGTTTTGGATGTTGAGGTGTGCGCGGATGTCGGTTGCGACTGCCCTCTAACATCCTCCTTGACCTCTCCTCCTCCCCCTCCTCCTCTCCTCTCCTCCGGCTTCCTCTCTTTCCTCTCACGCAGAGTGGGCGGCATGGCCCGTTGGTGACACTGTCCCGCTCGGTGTCAGTTCCCGTGCTGTGTGGGGCGCGAGCGTCACACTCAGGCTCTCAGCAGTCCCCCAACGCTTGTACTTTGCTCCGTTTGCCCAGGCGTGTTCGCCGTCCCCCAGCCCGTCCGCTGTCCGGGACTGTTGGCCGTATGGTCAGCTGACTGAGCCCCCCCCCCCCCCGCCCGCCCCTGCTCCAGCTCTCTGCACGTGCCGTCCGACCGCAAGGTCCTGGTGCAGATGCGCAGCGTCGGCGTGCTCGTCAACCTGTTCGAGGACGAAGACGCCGTCTTCCTGGATTTCAACAAGCAGATCCCGGTCAACGATCGCCAGTGGCACCACGTGGTGCTCTCGTGGGAGACGTCTGGCAACGTCCAGCTGGTCACCGATCTGGTGGTGATCGGCAAGCGCACCGGCTACGGCGTCAACAAGACCCTGCCCGAGTTGTGAGTATGGCGGCCGCCCGCCGCTGCGCCGGACGAGATGGGCTCTCAGTTGGTCAGTCGCTGGGCGAGGGAGCAACTCTCTCAGGCTGGTGTGCTCTGCTGCTGTCTTTGATCTCCAGTTAGCAGTGTGCCCCACGGCTTTGTGCGATCCTAATCCTCGCACTGTGTTCACCCTGTGATCGTCGGTGGTGGATTGCTTCGCCACAACCTGTGACACTGTTAAGTGTCTCGTTTCCGGCGTCTGTCTCTCTGGATGCCCCTGGCCTTCAGTGATATGAGTCATTACATGAATGGCTGCTTTACGTACATCCAACCTTCAACTCGCGCGTTTGTGCGCAAGGATCTGCGATTATCTGATGTGTCTGTTTCCCTGCGTACCACTTTTACCATGAGTCAGTTTCCCTGGTGTGTCCTGTCTGTGGTGTGAATATCTTGTCTGAGGTCTGTCTGTTTCCCGGTGTCTGATGTCTGAAGTGCCTCTGTTTCCCCGGTGTCTAATGTCTGGAGTGTGACTTCTTCCGCGCTGTCTGACGTCTGCACGCTGTCCGCAGCGGCTATGTGACACTGGGTGCTCCGCTGGCTGAAGACGGCACCCAGGTGGCCAAAGCCGGCTTCAAGGGCAAGCTGGCCCGCGTCAACATGTGGTCCCGCAGGCTGGACATCCGCACCGAGATCCCCAAGCAGGTCAGCTAGCTGGCGGTGCTGCGGTCCGTCGGATAGGCCGCCGGGGAGGGGAGTGCGAGCGTGGACTGGTGACGATGCCCGAGGCATAGGGAGGGGAGGGGTAGTGTGGGGAGGGGGGGGGGGGTGGCCTGCCACTGGCCGCGGCGGATCGGTGAGTAACGCCCAGTCGGGTAAACCCGGATGGTGTGTCCAGCGCGACTGGATGGTGCAATCGTCTGCAATGCAGAGTCCCCTGTATTAACAGGCTGTTGCAGGAATCATGGGCTTGTGATGTGCAGCCATATGAGTTGAACTGCCGGAGGCTTGTGCTGTTCTTCCGGGAGTGATATACCAGAATATTCGCGCTGTTTTGCGTTCATGACTGGCTTGTGTTTCCACAGTAAAGACCTTATGAATCCGTTGGCTATGTAAAATGCACGGCCAACTTATGTTCACATCAGTCAAAAGAAAATCACCTGGCCGTGGAAGTGATCGTATATTTTTTTAAGCCACATGCATTTTAATTATTAAGTGCTCACATACCAAACTACGCGCTTCAGCGCGTGTGAAAAAACGTCTGCGTTTATTGTTTATTCTGAACAGACCTTGACCTACGATTCGTCAAATGTCAAAACACGTCGTGGAAACCCGCATGTCGTTATGCAAGCGATTTTCCGACAAATTTTAGTCTGGGCTCGAAGCTCATCGACTCGTAAACGTATTGCACGGTGGAATTATTTATGCTGGTCTCTTCGGCACTCTTATTCAAATCACTTGGATGCACTGCAAGGCCCCTAATCATTATCCATTGCAAGTCCATTGACTTGGAGATGTAATGCACAGTCGATTTATTTATACTAATATCTTCGCTACTCTTATGATAATTACATTGGAGACGCTTCAAGGTTTCTAAACAAGACTGATGTGTCACGCGACACACCCATTGGCTCGGTCCTTGCTGATGCATGTTCGAGACTCCACCCCACTCCACTCGACCTTCAGCCAGTCGTGTCAGGCAGCACTCCGGCCCCTCCCGGTGGTCATAGAGTAGATCCGTGTTGTTGCCGTGTTTATATATATTGCTGTTGTGCCGGATGTATGTATCTTGTATTGTGCCGGACCCCTGTCACCAGCCGCCCTCAGCCCCAGCTCGCCTCGCCGCCAGACCCATATTCCGGCGTGACAGCACACCTGGCGATGTGGCCGCCCTCAGCCCCAGCTCGCCTCGCCGCCAGACCCATATTCCGGTGTGACAGCACACCTGGCGATGTGGCCGCCCTCAGCCCCAGCTCGCCTCGCCGCCAGACCCATATTCCGGTGTGACAGCACACCTGGCGATGTGGCCGCCCTCAGCCCCAGCTCGCCTCGCCGCCAGACCCATATTCCGGTGTGACAGCACACCTGGCGATGTGGCCGCCCTCAGCCCCAGCTCGCCTCGCCGCCAGACCCATATTCCGGTGTGACAGCACACCTGGCGATGTGGCCGCCCTCAGCCCCAGCTCGCCTCGCCGCCAGACCCATATTCCGGTGTGACAGCACACCTGGCGATGTGGCCGCCCTCAGCCCCAGCTCGCCTCGCCGCCAGACCCATACTCCGGTGTGACAGCACACCTGGCGATGTGGCCGCCCTCAGCCCCAGCTCGCCTCGCCGCCAGACCCATACTCCGGTGTGACAGCACACCTGGCGATGTGGCCGCCCTCAGCCCCAGCTCGCCTCGCCGCCAGACCCATATTCCGGTGTGACAGCACACCTGGCGATGTGGCCGCCCTCAGCCCCAGCTCGCCTCGCCGCCAGACCCATACTCCGGTGTGACAGCACACCTGGCGATGTGGCCGCCCTCAGCCCCAGCTCGCCTCGCCGCCAGACCCATATTCCGGTGTGACAGCACACCTGGCGATGTGGCCGCCCTCAGCCCCAGCTCGCCTCGCCGCCAGACCCATACTCCGGTGTGACAGCACACCTGGCGATGTGGCCGCCCTCAGCCCCAGCTCGCCTCGCCGCCAGACCCATATTCCGGTGTGACAGCACACCTGGCGATGTGGCCGCCCTCAGCCCCAGCTCGCCTCGCCGCCAGACCCATACTCCGGTGTGACAGCACACCTGGCGATGTGGCCGCCCTCAGCCCCAGCTCGCGTCCGCAGAGCCACGAGCCGAAGAGCCAGCGAGCTGTCCGTCCTGCGCACGGAGCCACGCGCTCGTCCCCTGCCCGGGCCGTGTCGTAACCGTCGCCGCGGCCGCCGCCCGCAGGTGGAGTCTTGTCGTAAGGCGCCCGTGCTGTACGACGGCCTGCTGCTGCGCTGGAGCGGCTACAACCAGCTTCTGGGCACGGTGGAGCGCGAGGGGCCGTCCACGTGCGGCGAGCTGGTATGCGCGCCGGGCTACACCGGCGACTGCACCAGCCGCGCCCGCGACAAGGTACGGAGCCCACGTGACCCGCCGCCGAGCACGTGTGGCAGGTCACGTGAGCAGACCGCGAGGAGGCCGCCTGCGCGGGCTGCGGCGGGCTGACGACAGATGATGGCTCACTGGTACAGACGGCGAACAGGTCGCCTCTGGATACGGAGGCCCGGTGGCCCGTGCTGACCGGGACCACATCACCGGGGCATCACCATCATCACCTGCACGAACCGGGGATCGTCTCCTGGGTCTGGTGGCCCATCTCTCCGGGTCATCTCACCTCGCGCTCTTGTGGACTTAAGCTTGTACTTGTGGACTAAGCCTGGAGGAAGGTGCCACGAGCACGAATCTGAGTGGGGCCCATTAGCCTGTGCATCTCATGTTTACCACGCTCCGCGCATGCTGTGCTGTACCCGATGACCCCAGCTGACGTGAGCTGACGCTGACCTGACCTTACCCTTGCTTACTGTACCGTCACCGATCTGACGACGTCCTGGCGCCTGACCCGACCTGACCCGACCTTGACACCCGCCCGCCAGACGCCGCCGCGGGTGGACTTCTGCCCGGGCGACCTCTGGGTACAGGCCGGCAACGGCTCAACGGCCGTCCGCTGGGACAAGCCGCGGTTCAGCGACGACGACAAGCTCATGTCCGTCAAGGAAATCAGAGGTGAGTGCGACAGAAGGGCTCAGGCGGCAGGGGGTGGCGGGACAGCGGGTGCGAGGAGGGGGAAAGGGAGATGCGTCGACTGGTGATGTCTACGATTGTCTGACCTGCCGTCTGTCGTGTCTGACTAGTCTGACCTGTCCTCTTATGTGCGTTACCTCTGACCTGATGTCGGGCCAATCCGGTCTGGTGTCTGACCTATCTTTGGACCCGTCTCACCAGTCTGACCCCTCTCATCAATCTGACTGGTCTTATCTGTCTGGTCTGTTGTCTGGCCTGTCCTCTGACCTGTCCCACCAGTCTGACCTCTCGCACCGCTCTGACCCGTCTGACCTGTCGCCTGTCTGGCCCGCAGACTATGCACCTGGTCAGCTGTTCCCGTGGGGTTCGCACGACATTGTTTACATCGCCAGGGATGACGCCGAGAACAGCGCGCTCTGCAGCTTCCGCATCCACGTACTCAGTAAGTGCCCGCCGTAATTCTGCTTTTGACCCGACCTACGCGTTGACTCTGAGTCACTGGTGGAAGACGGTAAACCCAATATCGTAGTAGCAGATTGCTGACTCCGAGCCATTCGTGACCAGTGACTAACTCTGAATGAGTGGCGGAAGGCCGCCGACTTTAAATCGCCGGCGGTTTGCCATCCCTGAGTCACTGGCGCCTGGCTGTTGGCATTGAGTCACTGTTACACTGTGCACGGATCAAGACGGCGGGGCCAGAACTCACGGCGTTTGAAGATACTGGCCGGGCTCTGTCTTCAAAGAGAGCGAGGGAGATTCTGAGCAAAGCGAGCAACGGTCTCAATCAGACATGCGGCCTGGACGGCCAGTCACCAGCAGAGCGAGCAGCGGCCTGATCAGACATGCGGCCTAGCCGGCCAGTCACCAGCAGAGCGAGCAGCAGTCTGATCAGACACGCGGCCTGGCCGGCCAGAGTCGCCAGCAGAGCGAGCAGCAGTCTGATCAGACATGCGGCCTGGCCGGCCAGAGTCACCAGCAGAGCGAGCAGCAGTCTGATCAGACATGCGGCCTGGCCGGCCAGTCACCAGCAAAGCGAGCAGCGGTCTGATCAGGCATGCGGCCTGGCCGGCCAAAGTCACCAGGATAGCTGTGTCGCGCGGTCGCAGTAAGGTTGACAATCGTCTCCTCTGCGACGCATTACCGACAGACACGTTTTCGAGATGTTTGCTGCATAGCAAATGAGCCTCACAACAGTACGATCCGCTGTCGCAGTGTCGGAGAGTACTCAGCAGAGCAGAGGCAGGTGGAAAAACCTGCCCTCGCTGGCAGCACTGGCAACGCCATAAATTACCCGAGGGACAGCGAGCTTTCATCGCGAGAGATGCAAATGGAAAACACCTTTGAGCGGCGGCTTCCCCGGGCGAGGACCACCAGCAGAGGGCGCGCGTGACGGCTGGGCATGACTGGGCAGCGCCGGGTCGTGCGCGACACCAGCCGTCATTCCGTCAACTGTGACCTTCCGCCGAGGGCCATGCACACTTGCTCCTTTTTCGGGGGGCGTGCAACTTGCGTTAACTGTTTTTTTGGTTTCAAAGCCGCTAAAACTGTCTAAATGGTAAAAGCTGTTATTTTTTAATTGCGCCAGTGACAGCCTGTACACAACAGCTTTTCTGACCACTTGCGAGCATTAACCGTTCCGTTGAATGCGCTACCGTGGAAGCCGCCAACTTCAAGTGTATAAAGAAGGTACTCATCAGATACGGCCTCTCCCGTCGCGGCCTGTCCTACGTCAGTGTCATTCCCCCTCCGTTGTCCTCATCGCCTTCTCTTTCGTGGCATTATCTGCCAGTGCGTCATCAGGCTCGCACTTCGTAGTCCGATTCAGGGCTCCGGCCAGATTTAGCCGCACAGTCAGCTGGCGCCGGCAGGAGGGAGGTGGGGAGGGGGAGGCTGGGTTTAGTGTGCCCTGCCTCGAGCGGGCCTGGCACGCGGCCAGCCACGGGAGTGCCTGTAGCTATGTGCCACGGCCACGTGCCGTGGCGCATTGCACTGCGATACCATGTATCCCTCTGTGTGGGTGGAAGGCTGCACCGCATCCGTCCACACCGTTTACACGTATTGAATGAACCTCACGATTTTCAAAGTCAGCTGTCCCGACAGACCACTCCTATGCCATCTGGACCGGCAGCCGTCAGCTGTCGTCCGCCAGCTGGCGGGCCGATGGGTGTGAGGCGGGACTTCCCGGCCAAGTACCCGCGCTGTCCCGACGGCTAACTCTCACGGCCGCCGCCAGGGGCGCTTCGGTCCCGGCGGGGGGGCCGAGTGCACTGCGCGGTCTGATATAGGGTCCCCGCCTCTCGACGCATTTCCAGGCGGAAGACGGGGGAGGCAGACGGCTGACGCAGTCGTGACAAGCGACTATGGCAGGCTGACTGAGGAGGAGTCCCCGATGCCCACTCCTGATCGCGCGCCGGTTCACGTGATATATCGCACCCCCTCGGCTTGCCTGGGTGCGCCTCTGCCAGAACGGCAGCGTCGGTGCCGCAAACCCGCAGTTGGCCCGTCCGTCCTGGTCGTAAGCGGACTGAGTCACCCTGCCCCTGCGAATGTTTGTGGCGCGCGGGTGAGATCAGTCCCGCGTTCTCACCCATCGACCGGCGTTGCGGGCGCGTTCGGTGCGCTGTGTCAGCGCGGGCTGCAGAGTGGCTGCTCCCGGTCCTGCGCCGCCAGACACGCCATGTCTCGGGAGCCGCGGCACCTGACGGCTGATGCCGCCCTCGTGCCGCGACTGCCGTCCAGCTACCAGAGCAACAAGTACCAGGCGGCCCGCGAGGAGTCCTGGCCGGCCTCCGATGACAACCCGCCGCCGCCGCCGCCGGATTGGGATGAGCAGGACATCGCTCGGGCGTCTGTGTTCGCCTTCGTGTTCGGCTACCTGTGGATCTTGCTTCGCGGTCCGGCGCTGGCCGAGCGCCTGCGCCCGCTCGCTGGCGACGGCCGCCGGATCGTGCCCCGGCTCGTGCTGCTCTGCCCGCTGGACGGCCGGCTGCCGGACTCGGCGGCCGCTCTGGATCGCCGGCTGCGACCGGCCGGCGCCGCGCACCCCTTCCAGGCGTCGGTGGCCGGCGCACGCGCGCGCTCCTATGGCGCGCACCCTGCGTTCGAGCTGCAGGTGGACGGCGAGGCCGTGTTTGCTGCCCGTCGAGTCGGTTGGCGTCGGTGCGCACGCTGTGCGTGGTGGCGGAGGAGATGGCGCGCAGCGAGCGGCCCATGCCCCGGCTGGACGCCCGCCGCCTGGTGGAGCGGTTCTCCATCGAGCTGCTGGTGGCCATCGCGCGCCAGCCGGCGCTGCGGGACCTCGTGCAGCTGGTGGTGTACGACCCGGCCGTGTCGGGCGGCGTCAGCGCGTACCAGCAGCTGCTGGCCGTGGCTCGGGAGCAGCGGGGCGCTGACGGGCCGCCACCAGCCGTGCGGCCCTCCACTACCGGCCCGCTGCTGCCGACCGGCCAACCGCCGCTACACGGCGTCGGCGTGTTCCTCGCGTGGAGCTTCTTCCACGGCTACCTGCTGCTGGCGGCGGAGCGGCGGCACGTGGCCGCCGACCTTGCTGCTCTCGAGCGGGCCTCCACGCTCCGGCTGCCGGTCAAGCGCGTTGTGGTCGTCTGCGTGCTTGAGCTGAGAGACGATGCTCAGCACCGGCTCAGAGTCGGCGACGCGGCAATGGCGGCGGCCGACGACCTGACGTTGCTGGAGCCTCAGCTGGAGCCGGTGCGGGACGTGGAGGGCGTGGACGTGGCGGTGTCGGCGCTAGCCGGCAGGACGTTCGGCAGCTTCTCCGTGTACCACTGCCGGCGCGGCGGCGCCAGCTTCGCGCTGGAGGTGGCCACGCCGCTGCGAACGCTCGGCCTCGGCGTCATCAGCGAGGGGCTGCCGGCGGCGGTGTATCGAGTCGAGGCTGCCCGCTTCGCCGTCGAGCTGGCCAGGCTGCTGGCCGAGCGGCCGGCGGCCGGCGCGCAGTACGCAGTCGTCACGGCCGAGCGCGAGGCGCCGCTGCACGAGAAGCTGACGGCCTTGACGGCCACCAGCGTCTGATGGCGAGGATATCGCCTGGCTTGTCATTGATGGCATGAGAGATGGTGGGCATCGAGGGAAGATGCGTTATTGGCGCTATCCTGATTGCTGTGTCAATCTCCAACGTTCGGGCGATGATCTGGGGCCACTCGTCATGGTTCAGCCGATGTTTTGCTCTTATAAGCTCTACGTGCCTTCAGTCATGCTGTTTTGATATTGACCACATCGGCGTGTTTTGGACCAGGCCGCGCTGCGGCCTGGTCAGTATCGGCCCGCGCTGCAGTCTGGTCAATCAGTATTAACTGCTGGAGCTGCTCTGGCGTCACAGCTGAATCAGTGCTGACTGCAGGAGCTGCTCTGGCGTCGCAGCTGAATCAGTATTGACTGCAAGAGCTGCTCTGGAGTCGCAGTGTAATCAGTGCTAACTGCAGGAGCTGCAACAACGAGATATGGCACTCCCAAACCACCAAGCCGGAAAAAAGGAGACGTTGCTGTAGCTGGCGGCCATGGGCGTCAGCCGATGGTTGTGCGTGCTCTGGATATACGCGGAGCGAAACAAGTTGGAAAGGAGACGGACATCACGACAACAGCATGCTTGAGCCTCCGCCGCCGACCCGCGATCCAAGTTACCGCTGGGATGGGACGCGCACGCGCTACTATGGATGCTATTGGCACCCGGCTTTCCAGCAGTTGGTTGGCATTGTCGGAGGTCCGATGTGAGAGGTCTGAGGTGGTCGCTGCACACCCGGATCTATGGTTGTTTCGATGGTGGTGTAGAAAGCAAACGCTGAAGCATTAAGTGCTGGTCGATGGGTGATGCTGGCCTCGTCAGCGGGTCTCCATGGTCAGTGTCAGTGTCAGTGTCAGCGCTGCTGGCGCTGATCAGCGCTGAGCTTAGCTGCGGGGATCTGGGTGATGCTGGCCTCGTCAGCGGGCCTCCGGTGTGTGTCAGCGCTGCTGGCGCTGATCAGTGCTGAGCTTAGCTGCGGGGATCTGGGTGATGCTGGGCCTCGTCAGCGGGCCTCCGGTGTGTGTCAGCGCTGCCGGCGCTGATCAGTGCTGAGCTTAGCTGCGGGGATCTGGGTGTATCGGTCATCCCGTCATCCGGCATCTGGCTGTATCACCCGTCCCGTCATCTGGTATCTGGGTGCATCGGTCATCCCGTCGCCCGGTATCTGGGTGCATCATCCTGCCATCGGTAACCGCGATCGGTGTGAAATTGTGTTCATCGATACCATACCCTGTCTGAGGCTGTGCATCTTAATTGATGCTATATGGTACACTGTTGACTTTGGTTTCAAATAGCGCTCGGGTGGAGGTCGATTTGCCCCGCCCCCTCCCCCTCCCCCGCCTCCCCTACCCCGCACCCCTACCACGCCCCCCTCCTCTCCCGAACGTTCTTCCAAAATAATCTCGGAACGGCGCGGCGTAGCCGCGGCGAACGTTGTATAGCTGTAAACAACTCATGGGCGGATCTCTTGGGATACAAAATTGAATGCACCTTGTAAAGTCGCTGACATACGGCAGATAAAGCCAGGCCGTGGCTGTCAGCGACAAGTCCCAGGATGTCTTTAGATCTAACGCGACAATAGAGCGGTAAGCGAAACCTTACATCTCAGAGATGGTTTCTTGGGCAATAAGACAACCGAACTTAGAACAGCGACAAATTCCTCTGAACTTGGGCCGGAGGTGTGAACGCCACCCAGGTAAAAAGCAAGGTTTTTTGCTGAATAACTTTATAGAGTAGTTTTTGATGCTCATTTCCAATTTATTGACAACAGGGACGGCGGCAAGAGCCTTCCTTGGACTTCTTAAAGGTCAGAGGAGATCACTGACCTAAAATAATCCATATTAACTTTCCGTTTCTGTGAACATACCACCTAGCGTAATCCATAATGATTGTTCAAATTCAAAATCAAGGCAATCTCGTAGGTTTCTGGTCTCCATAACCTTCTCAAGGTCAAACAAGGTTTCATTCTTCAACGGAACATCAATGACCTTTTGCTTAGAACGGGTGTCTAGGTTCATAGCAGTGACACGTGGAGGTATGGGGCGACTTGGACACCAAGCTAAATTTGGTCTTGTTTAACTTAATCTTATCTGAAATTCCTGACCTAGGCACCTCAAAATTTGACTACGTGAGCTTACATACAAGCCTATTCCCTCTGTGATTAGATGTTTCTAGCTCTCTTTATTTGTGAGGTGTCATGGAGAGGCCAAATTAGCCCCCACCCGAGCGTGTTGTATTTGGCCTGCCAACCGGCCGCATGTTTAAAATGGAATAAATGACGTGTAGAAAAACAACGCATATTTTGGTGGGCGTGCCCTCTTCAGTTGAGCATGCTCAAAGCTCAATTTGAAGTCACCTGAGGAAGGTATGCCTACCAAAATGTGGGCACCACAGAAGTGGCCTGTTAGTAGTTGAACCGCATGTCTGGGTATGGGGCTCGATTCCGCGCGGGTGTCCGCCCCTCCTACCGAGGGTGACAGACGAGCAACGGCATGTGGCTTCGGCAGCGCAGCGTATCGCGAAGTCCTAATGGCAAGAAATGTAGTGACCTTCACGACGCATAGTTTGTTTGATTTTGAAACCGAAGTCAAGAGTTCATCGCGTAATATGAAACTGCGTTAGTAGAAAAGCCGCGAACTCAGCCATGTGGGTTCCCGTGCCCTGATAACCTTCGTCAGTCTCTTGCACATATATTCGTATCACTGTGCCCGCTCCGATGTGCCTGCCCACGCGACTCGGTGCGCATGGCGTCACTAGTGATGAAACTAGCGCCTGGTACTGCTTAGTGATGGAACTAGCGCCTGGTACTGCTTTGCATTGCTTCGCATGGCGCGTGTCTGTTGACGTACCTAAAGACATGCTGTTTTGTGTAGTTGATATAGCGCTCTGTGGGGATAGGCCTTCCGTGGGAAGGTGACAGTTACGGGATGTTTACGGAGCTTACTTGGTTGTCGCAGCAGCGGGTACGGTGACTGGTGGTCTGAAGTTAACTGCACCGTTCCCCTCGTCAATATGCCCTCTAAACACGGCTGGAGCTTCACGGAGTGGTCTGGGAACGAGGGGGACAGAGGCGCAGCGCGATGCACTTCTCCTCGGAGCGTATATATTTCTGTCATTTGATGTGTTTTAACTCTGTTTGACTACACTTCCACGGACCGAGACAAAGATGGGTGGTACACGGTTCTCCCGAATTTCCGCCACTACTCCAAAGAATCTCCTCGTCTCGTTGGAAATGTCTCGGAAATGATGGAAAAAATGTCTTGGAAATGAAAAAAAACATTGGAAAGCATCGGCGCATCACGCGCCTAAAGCGTCAAAAGCCTGTAAAGTAACACCCCAAGGCTCCAACATGTCACGAGCATATGAAGATGCTAATGATATGTATCGGATACGTATCGCAGCAGCGGCACGTCGCTGTGGGTTGCACGACAATGCACAGGCCATGCAGCCCAAAACTGCTGGAGGTGGTCACAGTGATGGAGAGTCACTTAGGTTGCATTCGGGAGCAGCTCATCCCCTGCTTGGAATATAAGGAACTGCACAAAATAGTGACCATGTCAAACAGATCGACGCAGGTTTCCACGTGCTTGGGTGCGTTACGCCTGGGGTTTTGGTAAAAAGAATATGCCCACGCATCGGTCCGGAATTTTTTGCTTTGCATTTGAGAGCATGTCTCGAATTTGTCTAGAGAAGGTCCGGAGTCCGTCTCGAGCACGTCTTGAATACGCCCAGATATGCCGTCTCGAGCAGGCCTCGACTGCTCGCTCGCAGGTCTCGACGGCTCGCTCACAGGTCTCGACTGCTCGTTCGCAGCCCACCTAGACCAACTGGCCAACACCTCTTTAAACCAAACACTGGATTCTTCTGAGCATTTTTGAAAGCGAACAAAACCCTCATGGAAGCATTTTAGATTACGTCGGACCGTTTTCTATCATCGGAGCAGCAATCTTATGAGTACTGTGTGTTAGCTCCAGTCGCTCTGCTGGGAGCGCGAGGAGCCAACGCGAGATGTCCGTGTTACAGAGGAGATCTGCCCCACCCCGGAGGACCCCAACGGCGGCTACCAGGAGTGCTCCACCTGGGGACCCAACGGACGCTTCCGCTACTGCAAGATCCGCTGTGACCCGTAAGTGTACCGTCGCGCTCCACCCTGGCCGATGAGACGCTTCGGTGCGCCTCGCTGTGGCTGAGGAGGTGTTCCGTCGACGCAGCTAACTGTTGTGCGGATCGAGGACTTTTGAGTGAGAGCTGACTTATGCAGGCAGGGTAAGAGTCTGCTCTCACGTATGTCATCACAACCTTCATGCGTTTAGAACATTCAGCTGCTTTTGAACTAGGTAGGTAGCCTCTATTTTCCATTGCATTCAGGCACTCGCCGGATGTTTTAACACGTTCCTACTGAGCTTATATGCTTCTCAGAACTCAACGGAGTGTATGACGTGGCCCGCATAGCTTTTCGGCGTTGTTCCTGAACCGTAGCGGACCTGCCGCTAAACTTACCTGCATTTTGGTGCAGCTGTAGTAGTTTCTCATGCAATGTTTGGGCTGTTCCGTAGCCGACACATGTTTTACATTAACGTTCAGCAGATGTTTGGCCTGTGCTGCCACCAGTGACGTAGATGGCGCGCATGTTCGCATCAGCTGCCACTCGTTACCTGTAGCGCTATCTAGCGAATCTATCTGCGACTATGATTCTAGATCGCTCGCTAGATGTCAGTCTACTTAACGCTGCATCCCTCTGGCCGACAGGGGACTGCAGTTTAGTCAGCCCATCCCTGACTTCTACGTGTGCGGCCCGGAGGGCTTCTGGCGCCCCAATGACCAGCCCAACACGGCTCTCATCTACCCGAGCTGCGCCCGTGAGTGGGGCGGGGTGCGGCCCGCGCGGCGAACGTTATCAATGACACATCCTTCGGTCCAAACTTGCCATGCTTTACGAGCCCGCATGTTTCAGACTTGTATCATGTGTCTATGCAGCGTTTGGGAGCCCAGCCACTGCGTAGCAAGACAGGTCGTGATTGACGTTCGGGAAGTCTTACGCCTACGGCAACGTTTTCCTTTAACCCATTCATATTTTCATGTAAGTCTTTGTGGTGGCCGCGACACGTATCGCTCCAGCTCCTTGGCTTGCACGGCTTCTGCTGAACACATTGGCGGGCGATATTGACGCGTGCCGTCGGCTGGCCCGTGGAGGCCGGCTGAACCCTGACGGACCTCTCCCAGCCTCCCCCCCCCCCTCCGCCCCCACCGCCCGCTCCATACCGAGGACCCCCCACCTGACAGCGCCGCCCGCCTCTCTCCAGCGGCGCGCCCGCCTAACCATGCCTGTTCCGCTTCTCAGCCGCCGAACAGGCGCAGCGGGTGGTCAAAATAAAAATGAACTTCCCCTCGTCCGTCTTCTGTAACAACGCCGGCAAGAACGTGCTGGGACAAGCGCATCCGCGAGGCGCTTCAGAAGCTCAACAAGAACTGGAACTTCTGCATCAACACAGTCGAAGGTAGGTCCGCTGGCTGTGTGGTCACAGGCGTTTTGATGGGGCTGACCGGTTGGTCAGCGTTCGCCGACCTCGGGACCGCGCACTGTGGCCGTGCTGGAGGCGCGGCTCGACGGTGACAGAGGAGGACGGCGGGTGTAGGTCGCCAGCCCAGCACACCACCCAGTGATGGGGCAGGGGATGCCGGAGATCAGCTGTGCTGTTAGTGCGCTGGTGGAGCACGGCAAGTGCTACACGGGTTGTGTAGTGTGAGACTGGGTGAGAGAGCCTGTGTCATATCAGGGCTATGTGATCGGCAAAGGGCTATTCCTGGAGCGGATTGTAAAAGGTCGGCATCAGCAAAGACTGATGATTCCGGAGCTCATGGAAGCAGCCTTTGTTACTAACACCCAGGGCTGTAGCTTTAAGCTGGAGAAATGATGGGTTGTCTTCAACTATAATTATGAGAGTGACTTGGAATGCGTATTTTGTTCTAGATGTTTGCAATATTGAAAGCCTTGGAGCCAGCGGACTTCCTTATTTAAGCCACTCCCTTAAACGTACCTCACCTGTTGGCTGTAAACCTCGAGCTCTCCCCTCTAAAAGATGGCCTACCTGTTTGAGCAAATTCGCCAATATCTTTAAGGCAGCGGTCGCATATACAGCGCCAACCAGCTCCCCTGACACCATGCTCTGTGAAGTACCGTCCCCGACGCCATGCTCTGTGAAGTACCGTCTCCGACGCCATGCTCTGTGAAGCACCGTCCCCCACGCCATGCTCTGTGAAGTACCGTCTCCGCGTGCATCATTAAAGCACCCGTCGTACAACCATGACGTCATTACACGCGTAGTCGCTGAGCGGCGCCCGGCTTACACCGCCGCATCAGACATCAGCGGACTCAGTCTGCCCGCGCTGACCCACCTCCCGGATGTAGATGGTCTGGCAGTGCGTCACCGCCAGCACCTGCGGTCGGCCCAGCGGGGAGGAGCAGAGCGGGGTGCGGGGCCCTCAGGACGCGCGCCGCTCCTGCGGTCGGCCCAGCGGGGCGGAGCAGAGCGGGGTGCGGGGCCCTCAGGACGCGCGCCGCTCCTGCGGCCGGCCCAGCGGGGCGGAACAGAGCGGGGTGCGGGGCCCTCAGGGGGCGCGCCGCCGCCGCCGTTGCCACGGCCGTGGCGGCAGATCAGGGTCTGTGCGGCGGCAGCGGCCTGGCAGTGTTCCTCACTTGGTGTCTGCTTCGCCTGGCGGTCGGTGAGGAATCGATATTTTTGCACTCGATTTGTAATCTTTTGTGAAACGGGCTCTTAAGGGCTGAGTTCCGAAGAAAAGTTTTTAGAAAAGCACTGTGTGCACAAGCAGGCTATAAGCAGCGCACTGAACTCCTCGGCACTGTCCCTATTGCCTTAGACACATCATGCAAACTTAATGAACGTCTCGTCTGCTGCCAGCCCAACATGGCATAAAACTACTATTGTCACGATGTTTAGCTTAGCGCAATTTGCAAAGGCCACGATCACACCGTTCAGAAACTTTACGATGATCACAACTCGGCCAAAGTTGGGCGAATCCCGCCGCCGCTGTTGACTTTGGCTGGTGCATGGCTAAAATTGCCTTCCAAGTCATGCGATTTTGACCACATTCCTGCAAAATCTCCCAACATTTATAAACATCTGGTCCAGGGGGACGGGCACAGCCTCTTGGCCTTCCCTTGGGTACGTCTCTGGACTACGACGCCTCGTTAACCGCAGACGAAGCGATCCCGCCGAACTCTCATCGGGCAGTGCCGAGTCTTGGTCGTCAGCGAGAGGCCGCACGGGGCGCCGACCCCACCACCCTCTCCCGCGATGCCCCGCGCCACCCTCTCGGCGCGTGGGGAGAGGCGGGCCCGTTCGCGGCCGGCCTCCCGCACGACGCCGCGCGCGAAGCGGCCCGCCGCCGCGGCCAGGTACGCCAGGTAGAAAGCCGGCCAGTCTGCCCGGCGCGCTCGGCCAGCGAGCAGTGAACGCGTGCCGCGAGCAACTCATAGCACCGCACCGCACCGGCACGATGGGGAGACGGACGCTGCTACGAGGCGCGCTGGCCGGCTTGCTGGTCCTGCTAAGCGCCAGCAGGGCGGCGGCGGCGCCGCAGCCTGCAGGTGGGTGCGGGGAGCCGTCCTGGGTCGAGCGATGTCAGTGACCGACGCCGGGCATAACTGCGCGCGCTGCCGCGGGCGGGGACGCGCCGTCAAGATGGCCGCTGGCCGCGGGGCTCGGCTCTGGCGGACACCTCACGCGTCTCTGCCAGTGCTGCTGGCTCAGCCAGCGGCGTAATAACACGTTAAAAAAAATCCGCGGCTCACTCGGCTTCGATCGTTTTCCGTGGCCCAAGCGGTGACGGGTCAATCTTTGGACCGTCTCCATCACGACATGTTAGAGGTGTCCCCCACCCCCCGCGGCAGCCCCATCTGTGGTGGCACCCGCTGGCTCATCTCCGCACACGGTGCGAACGGAGCTGCAGGTCGGGTCGGCGGCGTAGCTTCTCAGACGCGCGGGGTGCCGCCATGCGCGTGTTTTCCTCCTGGGAACAGTTGATGCCGACTGCGGCCCACCAAGCATGGGACTGATTCCGACTCCGACTCCAAGCAGCTCGGCATAACCCTGAGTCTGCTTTGATTCCAGTGCAAGGTCGTGTGGGTCGATGCCGGAGTCGGTGCCGATAGGGCAGATTCCGTCGGTAGCAGTAAAAGGGATAGCCGGGTCTATAGCCTCCACAAAAGCCTGAATGGGTCATTTATCTTGATGCAAGTACAGTTACTTAGGTTTGTGTTCTACATGGTGCACATGGAAACCGTCACACTAAAGGAATATTCGGTTGGTTACGTTGCTGTTTACGTCGTTACACTTCTACGAAGATCTGTTTCATTCCAACGCAACACAAATGTGGTTAATTCCAGAACAGATCACCATCCGGCACTGGGCACAAGCCTGCCATGGGGCATAGTGGCAGCGATTAACAGTGGTGGCAGTGTCAGGATTGGAGACGGTGGGATAGCACTGGAACTGGTGTAATTTTGAAGTTTACCGGAGGGGAAACAGGCGGGCTATGAACGTTGATGGTGGATGATAGATGACGCTCGTGGACCGCCACATTGATGAAGGGCAATGTATTTGAGTGGATGGTAACATCCAATCTAGAAGCAGCTCACTTTTCGCTGGTGCACGCCAACCTGGCCGCTAGGTATAAACACATTCCATGAAAACATCACTCTGGGGTGTTCAGAAAACACGTACTTCGGGTCGCTCGCTCATCATAGCAGACATGTATTGGACATATTGCTGACAGAAGTCATTGAAAAATTACTTAGAATGCTTGCCAAACATCTGACCATGTGGGTTTTACTTGTCACTCGCAACACCGTTCGGAGATCCCACCCGGAAACGTTAGAGTCTCGGGAGCACAAACAAACACTTACATGTAAATAAGAGTTGTATGACGCTCTGATGAAGCGGAACCATAACACGCATGAAATTGCACCGTTTGGCATGACAGGCTAACTGTTGTTTGGCTGCGTGACTCCGCGGAGCTGAGGAGCCGAGCACTGACGGGTAACAGCAGGCCGCAGTGCTGAGGCCGGAACCTTCCGATGTCGACTCTGTTCACGGACAAACGACAGCTCCTGACAAACGACAGCTCCTAACAAACCACAGCTCCTGACAAACCACAGCTCCTGACAAACGACAGTTACTGACAAACGACAGCTCTGACAAACGACAGCTCCTGACAAACGGTCCTTTCAACAAATATGTTTTCAATAAGATGTAGGTTTTCCAGGTGCAGTCGGGGATGCTGGGCTTTTGCTGCTGTTGGTGGGCATGCTATTTTTCACGAATGGCCAAGAAGGACGGAATGCGAGCTGGATAGATGTTGTGTGTGTTATATCTAAGCAAACATGATACAGCGACATAATATAGCAATACGCTGCTATAAGTTGAAATGCAGTATATAACGCTCGTATGATTGCTTCACCGTCTTACCTCATCTCATGCTATGGCTAGATCAGTAATGTCGGCCTAATACTGAGCATTATAGCGATGATAATCATAACATTTCGATGAATCACGGGATCTGTTTGCATCACCGTTTTGCATGCGGAGCTCTTACTTCAGCCACCCCGCATACCGACCTGTTGACTGGCCAGTTTGTTGTTGCTCTGAGCTCAGATCCCCACCCGCGTAGCCGTTATTTCAGTGACGCTCCCACATTGCTACCAATTCCAGCCTGTCAAACACCTGCCTGACTTTATTCAGACGGCGGCCTTTTAATTCCAAAGTCTTGGTTTGTTTTCATGCAGGAAGTACACGCCACCAGAACCTCTCCTTAGCACCACGTGATTGATGACCTTACGGACTCAGTGGAGGGCATCGCATCTCATCCTCGTCACAAAGCCCTCTGTCCCCGGGTGGTGACCAATTACTTCACGCTGGGCGCGCTTCAGCTTTCAGGCGGTCCTTTCACTGCGCACAGCGCGAGCCGTAAATGGCCCCGTCCCATCCGCATTACGGCCAAATTAAAAACAGCCGTGTTTGCCGCATCATTAGCGTTGGCGGCGTCAGCTGTTCCGCCGCAGGATGCGTTGGCCGAGCTCCTCCACAGCTGTTCCGGCTCGCTGGAGAAGCTGAGGTGCCGGCCAGAGCACCGTTGTCTCGGCTCATCTCCCAGGCGTTATGTAACCGCATCGCTCGTGACAAGGCACGTCTCGATACGAGTCCACCTCCCCCTCTTGGCTATCCCTGGTGGCGCCCCTGCTTCTCGTTCCGTTCTGACCTCCCCAGCAGCGGGCCTGAGCTGCACCCGCTCAGCTGGTATCCGTGGCATCGTGCCTGCGTTCCTCGCAGTCCGGCTGGACGGCCGACGGCTCCAGCCGGCTGGCACCCGGCCAAGGCCTGCTGACCCCATCTGCAGGCGCTCCAAAAACCCGGCTCGGGCCGCGCC